ACAAATTTTTTATGAATTTTAATTAATTCATATAATTAATGTAAGTCTAATTGTTTCTTCATATTAATTTAATTTCTTAATATAATAGTACTCGAAATTTGCTCAATGTTTCTATATATTAAAATATTACTTTATTTATTTATTTAATATAATTTAAGTGCGTATAACGGACAAAAGCGCGATTATAAATTTTCATACATATATAATTATCTTATCCATAAATCTAAATATTATATTTAATATTAATATAATTTTATTTATTTGTTTTATCGAGCTGGCAGATAATGATAAGCATCGGTTTTATTTATCAGTCTATATATATATATATATATATAATATATATATTTACTTCATTTCGAGCATTTCGGGTCGGTTATCGGGAATCGATAAGGAAGGGAATTAACGGGTTAGTGGGTTAACGGGTAGTAAGTTACTTTGAATCCGATTCGCTTTTTAATTATAATTGATTGCGGGAGATGGCGTGCGGGGTTGGTTTCGGACCGCTCGGCCGCAGAGGGGCAACGCTTTACGGATTGTGATTGCTGTCGTGTTGTGGTGGGCCCCACGTCACCTGTGATGGGAAATTGACGCTTTGGGAATTGGAGATGGGGTTGGATTTCTTTAGAAATTTTTTATCACAATTATGATTTTAAGAAGGGAGATTTACATAAATATCATTCAATTATTCTATTCATCAAATTTTAATTAAAATGTATGGTGTATATATATATATATATTGTTCTTTTTCAATTTAAATTATGATATTTCAATGTGATGAAATATCTTGATAATGTAAATATAACAGATAAATTTGAAATTTTAAATATGCAAATGGCCAGGTTAAGCTTAAAATTTTAAGTCTCGATTTAAATTTTTTTGTTGAAAATTCATAACATAAATCATTTAAATTTTTATTCAAATGATAGGGCGTTACTTGAGAGTGACACGTTGAATGACCCGAATATAATTAAAATTATGCAATAACCGCTTCGCAGACACTCAGGTTTAATGTGAAAAAGCAAGGTTTCTGACATTATTCTTTATTCAAATGATAGGGCGTTCCTTGAGAGTGACACTCGGGTTTAATGTGAAAAAGCAAGGTTTCTGACATTATTGACAGATGTGGTCATGTGGGTAAAGAAGTTAGCCTATAAAACTAATTTTAAGACAATGATTTTGGAATATAGTTTATGCATTCAAACAATTAAATGAGTTAGAGCAAAGACTAAGAATGTTCATGGTTTATGTTTTAAACTTGTACGAGTTATACTATGAAGGGTGCATGTGTAGTTATGTATGATAATTTAAAGATAATATCGTAAAAATTAATAGAATTTGAGATAGAATTATAGTGTTAAAAATTATTGTTGATTTTAAGATTTTTAAGATCATAAGTGTTTATGTTATTCAAGAAGGTTTAGATGTACATTCAATTGATTATTATAAAATAACTTAGAAAAATGAATACAAAAGATACATTTTCAATAAAAAAAAATTATTGGGGGAGATTTTAATGGTTATGTTGACAAAGTGGAAATTTTTTTTTTAAATATTCATAGTGATAATGATTTTAGATTGACCAATGATAAATGGAGTCATATTAGATTTTTTATTTACTTAAGATTTTGTTATTCCCATTATTTTATTAAGAGATAGATGAACATATTATAACTTATAAATTGATTCAATAAAACAAAAATTGATTATTTTTTTACGATAAGAAGATATTGTCAAGATTATAAATATTGTAAGATCATTTCAAATGAAAATTTGAGTGCTTAACAGTGATTGTTGGTTTTAGATTTTAAAATAAAGGTTTGAAAGATGAAAAACACAATGAAATTTTGTCATATGATTTTATGGGGGTATTTAAAAGACATAAATAAGTTTACTTTTTTAACTGAGCTTCAAGATCTTAAATTTTGGGATGCTCATGAAGAGGTTAATGTCATGAGAGATAAAGTGACGAAAACTATTAAATCAATTACAAATGATGTACTTGGAGAATAAAAAAAAATAAAAATAGTTGGTGGCGGAATAATATTGTACAAAAAAATAATAAATATATAAAAATTAGTTTAAATATAAAAAAATATATAGTTGAAAAAAAAAAAAGTTACCTGTATGTAATATGAGAGAAAATTTTATAATGTTAAGAGTTATGATATTAGTGATTTTTATAACAAATTATATGAAAATCGATGGTGAAATATATATATAAATAAATTAACAAAAAAAAAAAAGAAAATTAAGATTTAGTTTAAGAAAAGTTTATCAAGCATGAAAACCAAAAGTTACTTTCTTATATGATATTTAACATATGCTAGTGGGATATTTTGGTAAATTTTTAATGATTTTTACCTAAAAATAATCAATATTTGTGATATTAATACAATTAATAACAACTTATTTATTATTTTATCGTCAAATCAATAAAATAGAAGTTGAGGGGGCTCTAAAGAAAATTAATGGTGCATAATCATTATGAACTTGTGATATCCCAATATAGGTATGAAAATATGTAAAGGATTTAAGAAATTATTGGCTTACTAAATTTTTTAATATTATTTTAAAAACTATAAAGATGCATATGTAGTGGTGAAATAATAATTTGGCCCTTATTTTTAAAAATAAATAGGTGCAAATTATACAAAAATTGAGTTAATGGGTCATACATAAAAATTATTGAAGATAATAATTAAGCATAAGTTGAGACATGATAAAAATATTTCTTAAAATCAGTTTGAATTTAATGTCTAGCAAATCTACTAATAAAATTATACATTTATTGATAGGATTGTTGGAGAAGTACAGAGATATTAAAAAAGATGTACACATGATTTTTGTCGATTTAAAATAACTTTTGATAAAGTACCAATGTAAGTACTTTGAAAAGTTGTAGAAAGGAAATGTATTATATGAGTGTGTACTCAAGTCATTGAAGATATGTATACTAGAGTTGTTACTTGCATTAGAATAGAAGAAGGTTTGACCCAATATTTTTCTGTTTATGTTGAATTACACCAGGGATTGACATTAAAGCTCATATCTTTTTGCTTTATTTTATGGGTGTTCTTAACTGACATTTATAGGATAATGCATGTTGGTGTATGATTTTTACTAATGGGAACCTTCCGGTGGATAAGACTAGATAAAGAGTTGAAGAAAAACTTAAATTATGAATGTTGACTTTAAAGTCTAAGGCTTTCGTTTGAATATATCTAAAACTAAATGCATGGAATGTAATTTTGGTAGCAGTACATCTAGTGGTGGGGTTATAGCAATGGGTGATCGGGTCACAGGAGAGGTAATGTTTTAGATATCTCGGGTTTATTGCTTAAAGTGACCATGACATAGATGAATGTCCTATTAATAGAATTAAAGTCAAATGGTTGAACCTGAGGTATGCATCGAGCTTATTATGTGATAGAGAAGTATAGCTTAGATGTAAAGGGAAATTTTATAAGATGGAGGTTAGCCCGCAATGCTTTATGGTGCATAATATTGGCTCATAAAAGGAAGGTATAAAATTAAGTTTGATGGTATGAGAATGTTTAGTTGGATGAGTTACATTACACATAGAGACAAAATGTGAAAAGATTATATCCATGATAGGGTTGGTGTAGCTCCAGTGATGGACAAAATTAGAGAATATCGTCTTAGATGGTTTGGTTACATTAAACGTCGACTATCTGATGATCCAATTAGGAGAGATGTTTTAGATTCGACTTATGTTAAGAGAGTAAGATGTAGACCTAAGAAGACTCAGCTTATTGTATAAAAAATGATCTTAATTTACTAGAACTAAATAAAAATATAATACTAAATAAAAATTAATGGAGAAAAAGGATTCATGTAGTCGACCCCACATAGTAGGATTAAGGCTTTGTTGTTGTTGTTGTAGTTGTTGTTGTATATATTATTTTCACTATTATGTGTCAATATTACACTTTTACTCTTACTTACTGTAGAGTAATCAAGATGTGAAGAAATTTTGTTATAATGAAATAATGCTTAGTTGGAAGAGAAATTATAAATAATATTTGGTTGTATAGAGCAACTTGGGAGGATGTTTGGTTGCCAAGTATGGGTATGCTAACTCCTGAACTACGAGATATATATATATGATTTTAAAAAAATAATATTTTAATTTTGAAAAAAATGTGGTTGAATAAATCTCATATATCCGATAGTTTAGCTAGTTGAGCACGATACCACAAACGATATCCTACCCCGAAAGATAAGCACAACACTTGTTAGTAAGCTCAACCATTTAAACTAAATAGTCTATGACATTCATTTGATCTGCTAAATATTTATGTGCGACTGACAAATTTTTCTACATAATATAAATATTAGATAGAGTTTATTTTACCAGAGTTCTTAGTTCCATGTAGAGACAAACCCTTATAGTTAATTATATCTCAAATCACCGAAATCACTTAAGAAAACTCTTGATTAAAATCAACGGTTCTGTTTTCAAGATTTCAGAGCTGAGTTTTCAAGGTTGGACATAGGGAAAATCAAGTGTGAAAGGACCAAGTATGAACATTTATTTTTGTAGTCCAAAGGAGGGGAAAATATAGGGGATGTCATGGATTCAGATGGGGGAACCTCGACGACTTCCCAAACCATCTTATTTTTTTGCTTCAATTTTGAAGATAATATTATTTGATGCTTCAATTTTGATAAATTTTATTATTTAAAGCTTATATCTACACGATATTCGATCATGTAAATAACGTGGAAGATAGAAGGGTTTACGTTGTACGAACGATAACCTCAAAGCATAAGAAGGGTGAGAACTTATACTGCACAACATGATAGTGCTGAAGCCTAAAATAAAATGTCGATTTACGTTGTGCTAGACGAACTACACCGAAGTCTTATGAATTATGTTATTTTAACTAAGGAAAATTTAGCCAGAGTAGGTCTAGTTCCATGTCGGGGAATTGATTCGTCGACGAAAGTTTTCCTCCACCTGCTTGCAACTTATTCTTGACGTAATGATATAAGGTTTAGGGTTTAGTGTAAACATGCAATTAATGTTGAGTCTCATGATCTGCCGTGGGATACCACCTAACATATGACTCGTGACGTTCTTTGCCTTCACAAAAGTTATCCGCAACACATTCTGCACTACCCTAGACGAAGACAATTTTCCTGCATATACTCTTTCCTTATCCCTCTCTCTACCTCTTCATTTCTACTGGATGTGCACGCGTTCTCAAAAAATTCGACGCATTTCTTTCTCCCTCTCACTATGCTCTCTCACACTAGCCTAATCAAATGAAAGGTCTCCTCTTAAACCCCCAAAGATGAAATCACAACGATGCTTAACCCCCACTATCTATTTGATGATGATGACCATTATTTTTACTAAAAAATTCAATTATAAAAAAAAAAAAAAACTATTGGGTATTGCGTTGCTTGAGAAGTTGAATATTATACTCAACAAATTAAATTAATTATATTTATGACAGATGAATAAAATAAAATATATTATTAATTATAAATTTAATTTTCTTCTTAGGTTAAAGTAAATATCCACAATTTTCACTTTATATTTAATTAATGTGATTGGTCGTCTATTCCAAACATTCCTATCCAAAATTAATGTATCCCCGGTTCCCCAAACCCGTTGCCCGAGCCAACCCTCCCGCGCAAAGCCTGGTCGCTTTTTAAAAACAAGTAAATTATTACCACCACACTTCCCACCCCTTGACAAACCCAAGCCACCTACCCTCCCTCCCAGGATCAAAACGGTCCAAAATTCGCCACGTGTCATGTTTCTTTATTAATGACGTGGTCTATTTTCGCCCCCCAAAACGGCTCTCGTGAAGGCGCAGCGAATGGAACGCGGGCTCGCCGTTAATGGAAGAGGGACGCTGACCGGAGTGCAGAAAGTTGACAGAGCCAGCTTCTTGAAACAGAGACAACTCTCTCTCTCTAAAGTCTCTTTAGCTCTAATCTCTGGTTCTCAATTCTCGTCTGCTCTTTCTCTGGTTTTTGCGAGCTGCTCTGTAAGTGGAGAAACCCTAATGCATTTCTTTTTTATGGCTTGTTTGTGCTATTTGTTGCTCTGCTTTTGCTCTTGCATTATGTGTTTTTTTAGGGTTTCTTTGTGGAAATGAGATCGGGTGGTTTTTACTGTTCATCGAATGTGGTGATATAGGATTTTTAGACGTTTTAGTGGGGTTATGTTTGCTTGAAATGGGATGCGGCGGTCTGCGGCTGGAATAGTAGTGGTTGCTGTAATGGCGGTAATGTGACAGGGAAAAGAGGGAATAGATTGTTAGGGTCGGTAATTTAGAAGCTGCTGAGATTGATATTCGCAGGCTTTAATGTTCATGCAATTAAGTTGAGATTATTTGAATGGTTTGTTTGGGTGGAAAATGGGGGAGTGCTTTTGAGAGTCATGAAGTGGATTGTGAGTGTGCGATTTGTTAGGTTATTTTCAGTTTAAAATTGTTTTAAGGCTTGTTTGATCTCGAGGAGTAGGAGAGGTCCCAGATGTGGGCACTTCGCATCACTGAATTTTTGTGGTCAAGCTAATTGGTCGACTATTTTTGCATGCACGAAATCGATTTTCTTGAATTGTTTTTCATTAGAAATAATTAAAATGCTTATTTTTTTGGAGATTTTGCTGTTGGTGAAATGGTTCCCTGTTATAGAAATTGAGAAAATAGGTTTCTGTTCTTGTGATATTACAAAAGTATGAAATGTGCTGAATATTGAGTTTAAGGTGTTCTGATAACTATATGTTTTCTTTCCTTGCAGCAGCTTGATATTCTGTTTGTATCTCATGTTTTTGCTTTCATTAAATTGGGGTTGCATTATATACTGATTAACCTAGTTTGCAATCATGATAATGGCCCCTTTAAATTTATGAATATTTTATTTTACTTTGTGAATTTTATTGTACTTGTTCTAAAAAGACAATAGTATTTGCACATCTTCATTGTTAGGGGTAATATTAATATAGTCATATTTGGGAATTGAAGTAGGTAGATAACCTCCATCTATTCTCAATATATAGTTTTTATTCCTATCCTTGTCGGTTATCTGTGTAAATTTATATGTTCAATTGAAAGATAAACTAGCTATTTCGCACAACCCAAAACCGGAAGACGGTACACTCTGACAACGCAGGACATGATGAAATGAATTGAATCTATTTGTATTTTCAAAAGTAATATTGCAAGTAAATAATGACATGAAAAAAATAATGAAATATAAATTTTATTTTCATAATTAGCAGTCCATTGATACAACTGAAAGAAAAGCAAAAAAAAAAAGGACAAACAAAATTGAATTGACAACGAGGGACGACAACCCAGATCTGAAAAAGAAAAATATAATAGCTAAAACAAATACTAAAAAAATCAAAAACAGAAAATCTAAAACTGAAAAGTTAGTTCCGGCGGAGATGATCAGGCTAGTGGCTGAATAAATTATGTTATGCAAAAATATCAATGAGTGAGTTTGATAAGCAAACTCTGTAAATAACATCTATTTATTAAAACATAAATGAATAAAAAAATGAGACATGTAGTATGAGTAATAAATATTGGTGACTCACTGTAAAAACAATAAATAGTTTTAATCAATATAAAATGCTTATGATAATGAATCGTAGCGACTTGGACAAATGCAATTTTTTTGTAGATATTTATAGGTTACCACATCAACTATGTTCATATATATAAAATTTGTTAATAACACTACCTCATAATATATGTGTAATATTCATATAATAGGCGTGCGCGCGTGCACACACACACAAATATACACACACGCGCGCACACACACACACAAATATACACACGCGCGCGCGCGCACACACACACACACATAGAGAGAGAGACACACACACGCATGCACACACAAATATATATATATATATATATATATAGTCGGTTTCCTATGAAAAATTGAAACAAATAAATGTAGATACCGATGACTTGAAAATTCATTGATGTCTTTGAAGACCCGTTGATCTTGCTTACTATTTCAAAAGAGTTTAATACCAACATAATAATATTATAACATCAGTTATATTTTATGCATCATAATTAAATTACATGAATATAACTACAAAATGTCAATAAGTATTTATAACAAATTATAAAATTTAATAATGAGATTTCATATATCAATGCTATAAAAAATTAACAATTATTGAAATATGACGTGAGAGTAATTAAACCCGAGTCTATGCAGCAATAAAACAAGACTAATTACATAAAAAGTCATTATGAAAAAAATGAAATGTACAACAATTATATTTACGAAATTTAAATGATAAGACTGAAAAACCTACAACTATCTAGGAATCTAATATAAGTAATAATGTTACGTGAATATACAAAATTGCTGTGAGTGTTATGTATTTTAAAAGAGGGGCATTCACACACATAACACTTAATATAACATCACTTATATTTAATGCATCATAATTAAATCACATGAATATAACTACAAAATGTCAATAAGTATTTATAACAAATTATAAAATTTAATAATGAGATTCATATATCAATGCTATAAAAAATTAACAATTATTGAAATATGACATGAGAGTATTTAAGCCCGAGTCAATGCAGTAATAAAACAAGACTAATTACATAGAAAACTCATTATGAAAAAAATGAAATGTACCACAATTATATTAACAAAATTTAAATGATAAGACTGAAAAACCTACAACTATCTAGGAATCTAATATAAGTAATAATGTTACATGGATATACAAAACTGCGGGGAGTGTTATGTATTTTAAAAGAGGGGCATTCACACACATAACACTTAATTCTTATGTATTTACTTATCTAACACTTATATTTAAATTTTTACATATATGCCATTTTATCTAGGCATGCAAATGTGCGTTTCACTTATTAAAAGTTAAAATATTCGTATCTTTGATGTGTTATAAACGATTTGGGCGGTATAAATGTAAAAGGTAAAAGTTAGATGTTATGTATGTAAATAAATATGATTTGGGTGGTATGTATGTAAATGTCCCTTAAAAAATTACATAGAGACTGGGTGTTATTTGTAACCAACACACTAATATGTTGGTTTATGCTTTTATGATTCTTAATGGAATTTTTATAGGCCAGTTTGATTGTTGCGCTTACTATCCAGTTTGAAGCGATAAAATCCCAGATCTTAAGGGAACTTCTGAAGGGTAGCTCCCAAATTAGTTCAATTAAAACTTTAATTGTTTTACCCTTTATTCTTTGGAAGAACAATGCAAGTTTCTTAACTTATCAGTTATCGTTTTACTCTCCTATTGAAATTTCTTTGTTATTTTATCGGAAATCTGATGTCACATATCACTGCAGATTTTACATATTTAAAAATATGAAGCTTCATGTACTGATTTTGGCTACTTATTATTTTGTACTGCTTGCTGAAATACCACCCATAATTTTTTAATTTTACAGTTGCAGAATGGGTGGCCAAAATGCTGGTATCTGCCCTATATGCATGGAGGAAATGGACCTAACTGATCAAGAACTGCAGCCTTGCGTTTGTGGATATGAGGTGCAAACTATTTTTATTCCCCTCGAGCCCTTAGGCTGTTGGTGTGGCTAAATCTTCCATTTTTTTAAGGGGCATTTACATACGTACCTCCCAATTGATACGTATTTACATATCTAACTCCTAAACTTTACTTTTTTTACATTTATACCACCCAAATCTTTCATATCACATCAAAATACTACTACTTTAATTTTTGAAAAGTGAAACATATCTTTTTATGCATAAGTAATGTGTCATATATGTAAAAATTTAAGTTCAAGTGTTGGATATTTAAATACATTGAACTTAAGTTGTATGTGTTTAAATCTTCCTTCTCTTTATTTTGTGCAAATGAGATGAATTTTGGGATTCTTTAGGAATATATTTGGTTCGTGGATATTGTTATGTTAGATCAATACTTGTATATCTTTTTGTGGTGGCATTTCTCATACATGTCTTGTGAAATAAAGATTGTTTTTATGTTATCTAATAGTAATATACATGCTTTTGCTGACTTTAAGATTGGGTAGTAGCATTGTCTCAATATATTTTAAGCCCTAAAACTTTCCAAGTCAAATTTCAAGCTTAATTAGTTAGTAGAAGTTGCAACAATGATACACTATCAACAAATTTTCATCATCCGAAACGAAGCTTGAGGCAATATATTGAGCAAAAAATATTCAAATCTTGATAAAAAATCATCTAGAACTCCAATTTCAGTAAACTTATAGTCAAAATGATCGGCTCGATGAGAGGGACCCAATTATATAAAAAATAGTCCAATCCAAATCAGATCAAACTCGGATCAAATCATTAAACCACTCCTAGAGAATTTTCGGAGGCATTTTAAAGGTCAAACAAATGTCGAATGTAGCGAGTTCATAGTCGGATCGAGTGACTCAACAAGACGAATCCAATGAGCCCAAAATTGCTCAATTCCGACATCGTTAAGACACTCAAGTGTCCATCAAACATCTTCTGATTGAGGGAAGCTCTCCGGACCGTCCGATCAAATTGTTTAATATTCCTGCATTAATTGCACCTAAAACACTATAAATAGAGCCTCACCCCTCATATGAAAGGGGACGCTTGAGAGAGAACTTGAGAGCTTGAGAAAGAGCTCAAGTCCATCATCATCCCTGTCATTTTCGACCTTCGTCGACCACCACCGACTGCTGTCGACCACCACCGATCGTCGGGGACCACCGCAGATCTCTATCGACCACCGCCGACCATTGACGATTACTGCTGACCACCGTCGACC